GTAGAGTTGTGTAATTTGACCAAAAGGTATGGCATTCTGGGGTCTATTGTCAGCTGGTCACTCATTCTGTTTACCAGGAAGTTCCTCAAATCGGGAGGGCTGTTGCCATTTTCTGGGTTGTTGTAGGTTTTTCCGGGTTATAGGGCCATGTTCTAGAGGCATTTTCTCCTGACGTTTCACCTGCATCTATGGCAAGCATCCTCAGAGGTAGTGAGGTCTGTTGGAAGTAGGAAAAGGGATTTATATGTCTGTGGAATGACCAGGGTGGGACAAAGGACTTTTGTCTGCTGGAGCTAGGTGTGAATGTTTCAAGTGACCACCTTGATTAGCATTTAATGGCTTGGAAGTGCCTGGGGGGAATATTTTGTTGAAAGTGATTTGATGTGCCTGACTGTTTACTCTCTGTTATTTTGCTGTTGTAATTTTTGGGTTTTTTAATAGTGGTAGCCAGATTTTGTTCATTTTCATGGTTTCCTCCTTTCTGTTGAAATTGTCCACATGCTTGTGGATTTCAGTGGCTTCTCTGTGTAGTCGGACATGGTGGTTGTGAGAGTGGTCCAGCATTTCTGTGTTCTCAAATAATATGCTGTGCCCAGGTTGGTTCATCAGGTGCTCTGCTATGGCTGACTTCTCTGGTTGAAGTAGTCTGCAGTGCCTTTCATGTTCCTTGATTCGTGTCTGGGCAATGCTGCTGCGTTTGGTGGTCCCTATGGAGACTTGTCCACAGCTGCATGGTATACGGTAGACTCCATCAGAAGTAGAATCATAGAATCATAGAATCAAAGAGTTGGAAGAGACCTCATGGGCCATCCAGTCCAACCCCCTGCCAAGAAGCAGGAATATTGCATTCAAAGCACCCCTGACAGATGGCCATCCAGCCTCTGTTTAAAAGCTTCCAAAGAAGGAGCCTCCACCACACTCCGGGACAGAGAGTTCCACTGCTGAACGGCTCTCACAGTCAGGAAGTTCTTCCTCATGTTCAGATGGAATCTCCTCTCTTGTAGTTTGAATGTGAGCGGATCCCTCTTGTCGTTTGCTGAATGTAGCATTTGGGGGCTGGACTAGATGGCCCATGTGGTCTTTTCCAACTTGATTGCTCTATGATTCTATGAACTGCAGCTTCCAGGATTCCATAGTGGAATGATAGTGCCACAACTGTATACTGTGAGTAGGTCTCATTCTTGGAGTAAATCTGCACTGTTGATATAATGCAGTGTGACACGACTTTATCTGCCACAATGCAATGCTCTGGCATTATGGGAGTTGTAGTTTACTGAGGCACCAACACTCTTTACAGACCTTGTAAAACTGCAATTCTCAGGATTCTATAGCATTGAGCCATGGCAGTTCAAGTGGCCTCAAACCACATTATATTGACAGTGTTGATGCACCCTATGTTACTTCAAACATGCCACAAAGGTGCTTCTCTACTGAGCTCCATGCTCTCCTAATCGGCTCCCTTCTCTTCTGGCATTCAGCTCCCTGGCATTCACAGTGTTCTCTCACACCCTGCTATTATTGCAAGAGAGTGCAGCTCACAGCTTCCTTTGGCGACAAAGTTATTGCACTAATCATGGAGCCTTTTATTATCCATTCATCCCAAGCTTGGAGTGCTAAGTGAGGCATCTGGGAGACGTCTCCCTCCTCGGAGTGCCCAATTTCCACCTGATTGAATTACTACTGGCACTTAAAAACACCTGCATTGCAGTCGGCTTTAGCATTCAGTGCAAATTCCCCCTTCTTCTCTCATCCTCCAAAAGGCAAACCGTGACAAAAGAATCCGATTGTTTCCTGGGCGCCTTTGTTAACTGCTTTACAAGGGGACGTGAGCCCCCAAGGTTTCAACCTTCCTTACCACTTACAATGTTTGTGGCTTCACTTAGCTTTGGGAGCAAAAGCACCTTGGCAGTCATCCATAAAAGCAGTGTAAAGCGGAACCCGAAAGAAGGTGCTGCGGAGAGGTGGAACTAGCGGTGGATTTTGTTATCCCTTTGGTTTCCTGACTGTAATGGAATGAAGAAGTCTTTGAAGGGAAGGGTGAACTCTGTGCCACTCTCCTTGGAATACATTAAGCTGTGTCGTGATTTCATCAAGAACCCTTCAAAGCAAACAAGACGGGTTGTTTGTTTTGGTTTTCTCAAGATTTTTTGGGAGGAGAAAATAATATGAAGGAACTCAGGTGAACTCCACACTTTTGTAAGCATGTATTCCTTCACTACGGGTGCATCTAGACTGCAAAAGTAATGCAGGTAGGGGCCACTCCAACTGCCATGGCTCAATGTTACTAAGTCCTGGGAGCTGTAGTTTGGTGAGACACCAGCATTCTTTGGGAGTGCTGCCAATGAATAGCAAGCACTAGAGCAGGGTTTCTCAACCTGGGGGTCAGGACCCCAGGGGGTGTCAGAGGGGTCACCAAAGACCATCAGAAAACACAGTATTTCCTGTTGGTCATGGGAGTATTGTGTGGAAAGTTTGGCCCAATTCTATCATTGATTGTGTACAGAATGCTCTTTGATTGTAGGTGAACTATAAATCACAACAACTAGAACTCCCAAATGACAAGGTCTATTTTCCCCAAACTCCAACAGTGTTCACATTAGGTCATATTTATCATTTGTTCCAAGTTTGGTCCAGATCCATCATTGTTTGAGTCCACCATGCTCTCTGGATGTAGGTGAACTACAAATCCAAAATTCAAGGTCAATGCCCACCAAACCCTTCCTGTATTTTCTGTTGGTCATGGGAGTCCTGTGTGCCAAGTGTGGTTCAATTCCATCATTGATTGAGTTCATAATGTTCTTTGATTGTAGGTGAACTGTAAATCCCAGCAATTACAACTCCCAAATATCAAGGTTTATTTTCCCCAAACTGGGCATATTTAGCATTTGTGCCAAGTTTGGTCCAGATCCATCATTGTTTGAGTCTACAGTGCTCTCTGGATGTAGGTGAACTACAACTCCAAAAACACAAGGTCAATGCTCACCAAACCCTTCCCTTATCTTGATGCTTGCCTGGAATGTTTTCAGATTTGTTAAAAACCAGTAGACAAGTTTAGCACAAATTCTCTGTATCACAGAATCATAGACAAGACACATAGAAGAGACCCCAAGGGCCATCTAGTCCAACCCCCTTCTGCCAGGTAGGAAGACACAATACAAACCCTCCCGACAGATGGCCATCCAGTGTCCACTTAAAAACCTCTAAGCAGGAGATGCTGCCAGACTCCCAGACTACAGCATATTCCATTGTGGAACACCTCAGGAAGTTTTTCATAATGTTAAGAAGAAATTTCTTTTCTTTTAGTTTGAATACATGGTTCTATGTTATCATCTCTGGAGTAGCAGAAAAGAAACTAGCTCCATTTTGCCTATTAGAGTCTCTCAAATATGTACTCATAGCTATCATGTCCATTGTCCACCATCTCTACTTCACTCAGCTCCCTAAGCAATCCCTCACAGGGATTCATGGCTTCCAGACCTTTGGTTATTTTAGTTGTCCTCCTTTGGGCATGTTCCAACTTGTCCACATCCTTCTTGAGTTGTGATACCTAGAACTGGACACAGCATTATCCTAGCTATCATGTCCATTGTCCATTGTCCACCATCTCTACTTCACTCAGCCCTACTTCACTCAGCCCTCACAGGGATTCATGGTTTCCAGACTTTTGGTTATTTTAGTTGTCCTCCTTTGGGCATGTTCCAACTTGTCCATATCCTTCTTGAGTTATAGTACCTAGAACTGGACACAGCGTCATCCTAGGTGAGATCCGGCCAAAGCAGAAGAGAATGGGACCATGACTTTCCTCCATCTAGAAACTATCCTCCTGTTGATGATGCCTAGAATTGCATTGGCTTTTAAAACTGATACACCACACTATTGACCAAAGATAATTCCACTAGTATCATTGAGCCTAAATGGAGGCACATGGATATTGTCATTGGGATTCTGCTCCTCTGAGCACTGTTCTCACCACAGCTTTTTACTACAATGTCATATCTTTCTAAATGCAACTGATCTCATCTGATGTCAGCATGCTGGAAGAAGAAAAGACCACCAGCATTGAAGCGATGGTCCTCTGCCATCAACTCCGCTGGACTGGCTACGTTGTCCGGATGGAGGGAAGTGAAGCATAAAGTTAGGGTTCAGGGATCAATAGCTGGATGCTTGGATTTAAAGATGGGCTCAAAGCCAACCTTAAAAACTCTGGCATAGACACTGAGAACTGGGAAGCCCTGGCCCTTGAGCGCTCCAGCTGGAGGTCAGCTGTGACCAGCAGTGCTGCAGAATTTGAAGAGGCATGAATGGAGGGTGAAAGAGAGAAACGTGCCAAGAGGAAGGCGCATCAAGCCAACCCCGACCGGGACCGCCTTCCACCTGGAAACCGATGCCCTCACTGTGGGAGAAGATGCAGGTCAAGAATAGGGCTCCACAGTCACCTACGGACCCACCGCCAGGATACTACACTTGGAGGACCATCATCCTCGGACTACGAGGTATCACCTAAGCAAGTAAGTAAATAATCTCCATACCACTCTGGGCACACTCAATCTCACCTGATTCTGGAAGTTAAGCAGGATCAGACTGGGAGACTACTTGTGTGGAAGACCACCAGGGAAGAAATCTCTGGCAAGGGACAAGAAAGGACTTCACCCAAAATCTTGTACATGTTGACAGTCTGAGTTGTCATGACTATTCTAGATAGACTTGTGGTGTGATGAAGCACAAGAAGATGACTTCTGTTTTAAAATCCCAGAATATTCTTCCTGTTTTAGATGGGGAGCCTTGGGTGTTGTCAAAAAAGTAACTTTTGCCATGCTCAATTTCCCATGCTCAATTCAATGATCTCTCTCTTGGAGATTAAAGGATTGCTGGTATGGTGTTCAAGAACTGACCTCAACTTTGACCAATTTTTGAATTCTAAACCAAAAAGCATTCTCAGCCCTTTCAGGTTATACATGGTTATAATATAGCAATCATGTAAAGTTTTAAGGATTTCTTACCACAGGGAGCAGCATTACTGCAAAGATGTATGTCTTCCAGCTGAGAGTCATCTTGACAAACCATCAAATGCTCGTCCTCAGATTAAAAGGTTTCCAGTGGTGTTCCCGATGCTCAAAATCTCTGCCCCGGGTTCTTCAAATCTCTGTGAAAACAGAAGGAGGAAATATGTAAAGGAAGTGAAAGAAAAAACAGTGATGTTGCTAAATAGTACAACTCAAGATGTCAAAATGGTGCTTCTGGTTAAATGAAAAGTTCCATCCAGAGTTGGGAGAAAGTGATGTGTGGCTGAAAGTAAGTACAAGAATGGAAGCACTAGTAAATCATTGGCCTTCATAGTTAAAAGGGTAACTTGCCAGAACTTGAAAATGCATCGCCACCAGTGGCAACTCAAAGTGGTCCACCAACTGAAATGAGGAAAGGACCTTCAGTGGGCAACTTAGCAGAGAACCACCAGTTCTCTACTCACTGAAATATAAGCCTACTCTATATTCTTCATATAGAGCCTACACTAGCAGAGAACCCTGGACATACCTTGAATGAAAGACTGGCCATCTTCAAGATGACTTCTGGTGAGTATTTGGGGTTTTTTGTTCGTTTAAGGCAACTTCCCATTTTATGCAAAGTTGGGGAATACTCCAAGAAACTCTTGGAAACTCTGGAGTATCCTGCAATTTGGGTTGCCACCACTGCTACTCCTTACTGGCCGCAATGCTTCATCTCAACTCCTGTCCATTGTGGACACCTCCAAATGCAATGGAGGACCTTCTCAATGGAGGACCTTCTTGCAGCAACACCAGAGGCACTCCAAGTGGCCAGATACTGGTCAAAGAACATTTAATCAACTACCAAGCTTGCAAACTTTGTGTTTTGTCTGTTTGTTTGTTTGTTTGTTTGTTTTGTTAAAAGTGTAATACAACTGTCTGGTTGCTCCTGACACAATAAATAAATACCTCCAAATAACATTAAAATGGGATGTCCATGAGACCACCATGAAAGAAAAGGTGATCCACCCTTCTTCTTGCTGATCGGGTGGATGCCCAGTTCTGACATTGGTTGAAGGGCCTGCATGACCAGTCAATCTCTCCTCCTTTTTCTGGCCGTGATAAGCACGCCCAACTCCCTAAGTTGCTTCTCATATGACATGGCTTTCAAAACTTGAACCATTTTGGTCCCTTCTGCTGGAAAATGTTCCATCTTGTCCATCTCCATCTTGAATTGTGATGCCCAGAACTGGAGACAGTATTTTCCAGGTGAGGTCAGACCAAAGCAGAACAGAGTAGGACTATGACTTCCTCCCATCTAGACTAGGCCTGCACAATCTATGGCCTTCTAGATGTTTTGGATTTCAGTTCCCAGAATTTCTGGCCAAACACCTGGAGAACCAGGCCTGATCTAGATACTATACTCCTACTGATGCAGCCTTGAACCATCTTGACTTTTTTAGTAGCTACATCAGACTGTTGATGCTCAGCTTAAGGTCTGTTAAGACTCCTTGATCCCTTTCATATGCTCTTTCTCTCTTTCAAGTTAAATGCACCCACTTCCCTCAGTTGATCCTCATAAAGGCTTGGTGTCCAGACCTTGGACTATTTTGGTCACCCTTCTCTGGACACCGTCCAGATTGTCCATATCCTTCTTGAACTGTGTTGTCCAGAACTGGACACAGTGTTATTCCAGGTGAGATCTGACCAAAGCAAAAGAGACTGGGACTATTACATATATAGAATGACAACAGGGCCACAATGGTCGGGTAATAATCAAGGCAACGGGGAGACATTAAATTAAACCTGTAGCAGAACCAGCTCCAGGGTTTGTCAATATTCCTTCTCCCTTTAGTCTTAGTGGGAGTTCTTTGGCAAAACATCTTCCCTTAGGAACTAGAATGACTTATATTGACAAGGAAACAAAATCGCTGTATTACTCATCTCCTGACTGAATAGAGATGGGGAAATGATTCAGAAAACCTGCCAGTGTATTTTCGCTCCAGTTGCTGTCCCTTTTTACCTCTCTATTCACCCCATCTTCTACAAAATTGCATTTGCTCCAGCAGCCTCTGCTGACTGGAAAATTTCCTTCATTTTAACGAAATAAACAACAATACAGTCAAAGCAAAGAGTTTGTTCCCTGCCATGCTAGGCTTCCAAGCTTGTTGTTCATTCGTTCAGTCGTCTCCGACTCTTCGTGACCTCATGGACCAGCCCATGCCAGAGCTCCCTGTCGGCCGTCACCACCCCCAGCTCCTTCAAGGTCAGTCCAGTCACTTCAAGGATGCTATCCATCCATCTTGCCCTTGGTCGGCCTCTCTTCCTTTTACCTTCTACTTTCCCCAGCATAATTGTCTTCTCTAGGCTTTCTGTCTCCTCATGATGTGGCCAAAGTACTTCAACTTTGTCTCTAGTATCCTTCCCTCCAGTGAGCAGTCGGGCTTTATTTCCTGGAGGATGGACTGGTTGGATCTTCTCGCAGTCCAAGCACTCTCAGAACTTTCCTCCAACACCACAGCTCAAAAGCATCTTCCTTCGCTCAGCCTTCCCTAAGGTCCAGCTCTCACATCCGTAGGTTACTACAGGGAATACCATGGCTTTGACTAGGCAATGGATCTTTGTTGCCAGTGTGATCCATGCTAGGCTTCCAGGCTAGGGAAAGAAATCTCCACTTATGATATTCTTCTGTACAAGAACCAATAATTTCAAAACAGTGATCCTCTCCTCGCATAAATCTCAAGGGATTTTTTTTTTACAAAATGTGCTTATTGTGCAAAAAATAAAATACTAGCATAAAATAATTCCCATTTTGGAACAAAAAGTCATGGACGTAAATTCTCTCTTTTTTCCTGGCTAGAGTAGAACTACTGGGTCAACTGCATTGTCTTATATTCTCACTTACACTTCAACAGCTGTAAGCTGCTCTGAGTCTCCTTCAGGGTGAGATTGAGAAGGTTAGAGATATAGTAAATAAATAAATAATATATAAACAGTTAAGTCAATGAATGGCCTAACAATGCAAGCAAAAGACCTTGAAACAGTCTAAAACCAGCTTACTAACGCCCTGAAAGATCTCTCCAGCTACTTCAAAGATAACCAGCTGAAGCCTAACCCTGCCAAGACACAAACGTGTGCTTTCCACCTACGTAACTTTAAAGCCAACAGAAAATTGAAAGTTACCAGGAAAGCCAAGAGTTTGAACTTTGTTTCCATCCTAGATATCTCAGTGTCACCTTAGATTAAACATTAACATTTTGGAACATTTAGGAAACACAGCGCAAACCCCAAGCACAAAGTAGCTGCATACAATAACATCCTGCAGAAACTTATTTGCAGCACATGGGGTGCAGACCCAAAATTAATAAGAATATCAGCCTTTGCCTTGTCTTACTCAACTGCTGAATATGCCTGCCCTGTGTGGCACAAGTCTGCCCAAGCGAAGCAGGTGAAAAAAGAACTGAATGAAACATGCAGAATAATCACAGGATGTCTCAAACCTACACCTGTTGATAGACTCTACAAGCACACCCCCACCCCCATGGGAAGTTGCTGCTAAGTGTGAGAGGAATAAGGTTTAACACAGTGAAAGCCACCCACTGCATGGCTATCAGTCTCCTCCCAGTAGAGTTAAACCAAGGAAAAGCTGCATGAAAACCATCACTCCTCTTAACATTCTCCCAACAACAGCAAGAGTTCTCCTCTGGGCAGCTAAACCAGGAAATCCCAAATGGATGGCCCCCTACGAGGGTCTTCCTCCAGGGGCAAACCAAGAATGGGCATCTTGGAAGTCCCTGAACAGACTCAGAAGTGGAGTGGGCAGATCAAAAGACAACCTGCAAAATGGCACGACATAGAAGAATCCTCCACCTTGTGCGACTGTGGAGCAGAACAGACAACTCCACATCTGAATGCTTGCCCACAATGCCCTGCCTCACGCGCAGAGGAAGAACTGTTTCAAGCTATAGACAGTTGGGTCACTGTTGCCTGTTTTAGGTCTAAAATTATCTAGCTGCTTATGCTCCCTCTATTTTATCAGTTTTATACTTATTAATGCAATGCTTTTGAGATGAAATAAAATAAAAAGTTAATGAATCTACTTTAGCTGGGACTAACCAATAGTCACTATTTTTCTTCAAAGAATAAGCTAAAATATAAATAAATGTGAATGTTTTATTTATTATATTTATTTATTATACTGATTTATAATACTATGTCTTTATTTATATCCCACAGTTTGCCCCATGTGAGATTCATTGTGGGTTTATAATAGTTAAAGTAAAGATAGTTAAAAATCCAATGCATATAAATATTAAAAAGCCATTGATGGAAACCAGTGGGCACCATGACTCCAGAGGTCATGAAACTCACTCTCAGTATCAAAATACAGCAAGGGCAAACCTCTTCAGAACATACTTTTCCAAGAAAATCCTGTGACGGATTTGCCAAAAGACTGAAATAAATTGAAGGCTCACAACAACAACAAATGCTGCAGACCCCAGAATTCTATATTTCTATGACCTTGACAGTGGGATCACACCATTGTAAATACATCATTTCTGAGCTTTCTTGATATGCCAATGCTGGCTAGAGACTTCTTGGAAATGTGGTCCAAAAAAGTAGCATTTCCATTTTCTGTTCCCCCCAGAACAGAGCATTCTCACAAACACCTGTTCATCAAATGTTTGTGAGAAAACAGGTTGAATGATTCATTTGCTGAAATCACTGGATTGGGCCGTCCTTCTGAAAAATATTGCCGTCACCTTTGAGATGTTTTGGCTGGAATCCATTTCATGTCATAAACCTGCATATGTTTCCTTACTCATATGGTTGTGCTTTTTCCCCTTTTACTGTTTATGGAACAGGCATATGCAATTCATGGGTACATAACAGTGGTACCACAATTGTAAGGTTGCATGTGTAGCTGAATCCTTGAATTGTGTGCAAGTATTTGTCACTCACTGAAATGGGATGCTTCATTCACTGGGATTGCAGAAGGAGCTACTGTACATTCAGAGCAACATAAAGAGACAACTGGCACATACACAACTGGTTGCACAACATAAATATTTGCATCCCCTCCAACCTTTCACAAATGAAGACAAGAAGTATCAGAGTATAGTCAAAATGGGAAAACCATTGAAGATGAAGAGGACACAAG